CAGCATACGCTTTTGTTAAGGATTGGGTTAGGGTCGGTTAGGGTTGGGATCAGATAAGAGGGTTAGGGTTTCGAATAGTCGTTCAAGGCCAGCTAGAAAACGGGTTGAAAAAGTCACGTGACAGTCGAGTGTAGAGTGAATAATCATCATCCCTGTCTTCTAGCAAAGGTGGTAACTGCTAATAGTAATACATTCCTTACCGAGGGATTTGGGTAGGCAGTTGATCTCCGCTCTGGGTTCGAAACCCACAAAAGATAAAAGGCATTACAATGACAAGCTTGTCTGTGTGGGAGACCGCCACAGTCATGGTCTGTTTTAGACATTGTCTTCCATGCCAGGTAGGTGAGAACGAAATCGTATTTACCTCCTTCTATATATATTATAGGCAGACTCCGATCTATTCGGGAGGAGTCTTAGGAAGATTTGGAAAATAAGACGGGATTCTTTATATATTTAAATATTAATTTTATAACTTGTAAGCATTACGTTGTGGCTGATAGTGTCAGTAGGACATATGGCAACTTATAGAACTACATCGCAGTACTAGTATGTAATACTATATGACATGACTACTTGACTAGTTCTATATATTAGATAGTAGACTATAATACAATTTAAACAAAGCCCGCCTTCCAATGAGGCAGAAAGCAATGATAAGCCTAAGGACAATATTTGATATTGAGTAGGTGTGCTGTTCGATTAACCTGTTTGACAGGGCTAATCCAGAGACCCAACTATTGATGATGAGGGCCCCTCCTTGAGGGCGGGAGAACTAAAGTGCTCTGGTGAAAATGACGATACCAGTTTATAGTTTAGTAAGTCAATTCATATCGGATGTCGGTGGACAGATCGGTTGATAAGACTAATCCAGAAGCAGGATACAGAAAAGAGGAGACTGAAGAGGCTGTGAAGATGGTGGAAGGTTGACGACTTCACGGCTAATAACGTTGTGAACTTAATCTAGTAGGATGAACCATGATAAGCATGTCAGAACTACACTCCCTGCCATGAGATGTGATCGCTAAATTAAAGTCTAAGTGATATATCAATTTAGTGATGTACTATGATGTCGGTCCGTTAGTAGTGGGCACAGAATTCCATCGTCCATCAGTCAATTTCTACATTTACCATTAAACTGCTTTCTTTGATCCTTGCTGTGGTTATTGAAGCGCTTCAATGATCATTATAATGGGTTAAAAATACCAATATCAAAAATATTGATATTTGACTAATTTATGGGCCAAAATCGATCAAATTAGGTGCGTATGCACTCCGTTATTTTTTGTCCAATCTTGATGACATTTCATATACGAGTTCAGGGGACTACTAGCTACAAGTAGAGCACCTTAAATCTGGGTATTACGCATGTTTAGGGTATTTGGCTAAATTAGGCCTAATTTGGACCAAATATGGGCGTGGCTGCCCCGCGGGCACCGTTTGGCGGTTGGGGTCCGGGACCCCCTCAAAAGTTCGGTCACCGGCGCGGTTCTAGTTTGTTGGCCAACTGCTATCTCGAAACCAAGTTTCGCAAAAAAAATCCACCCCCCCCCCCCCCCCCTTAACTTGGGTACAATTATTAGACTGGAATCTGATTTACGTTTAGGTTTTATTCTCTCCTAATCAGTGCACAGGAGTGGCTTCCTGGGGTTACACCTCAGACTCCAGCTCTGGGACTAATCACATAGAATATAAATAAAGCACGGAGTGATAGAATTATCCTTGAAATGGGGCTTCTGGTGGAGCACTGTGTGTCGTGTATGTGCCATTGTCCAGGTTCAATGGCTTCACATGTTATGAAGTATAAACTATGTACCAAAGTAACAATGGTTTTAAAAATACATCTTACTATATATATTATATAAAGCGAGACGATAGTTTTCCGTGCCATTTTACTGACACCACGGCATCAACTTTAACGCGACTTTCCGCAAAAACCGTAAAAGATATACAACAGCGATCGCGTCTGTATTCTGTAACTAAACAAAGTTATATAATAATAGTTAATAGTACTATGTACAGTATGCACTGAAGGGGTATCCTAGGAAGTTTCTTGCACTTTTATCAGGTATACCCTTCCTCATTTAACTGGGGTTTGAACACTGGACCTTCTGCGCAGAAGGCAGATGCTCTAACCACTTACCACTAGGCCACCTAACCCCTAAGGCTATAGCTATTATAGCTATTTTTTTGTTAAATTACTACCAAATCCAAATATAGCCAAATTGGTAAGATTTGTTTAAAAGCTGAAGCGTTTGAAGGGGGTCTAGCCTTTGCATATTTTTGTCCATTTAATTATAAGACCCAAGTTAAGTGTAGGAAGTTGATGATATACTTCTCTGTAAAGCCAAAGGAGTATAATTTTGCTTGAAACATGGTTGAATATTATCTGTTGCAATAGTAGGGCAACAGTTTTTAGATTACAGCTGAGGTTATATGGAAATGCCGACAAGAATTTTGTCATGACTAAAACTGACGCTCAGAATTCCAACAGAGGTTAACTTTAAGGCAGTTAAAACTCAGCATTTAGTTTCGGTGGCACTTTAAAGTTTTTACGCAGCCGTTTTAATTGTAAAGATTTTCTTGGTTGATTTGATATTTTCAAGGTAAAACACAGCAAACTAAATTAAGATATCGTGATAGAAAACGGAACGTCAATATTGTGCTTGAACCCAAAACTCATTTTATCAATTTAAATTTTGTATTCATGAATACCAGATGTTTCCAACCTTTTAAGGATATTACTTATAACATGGGGATAACGGTCCTAAAGATCAAAACCCTGCAGAGTCACTTTATGTTACATGATCTTAATAGTATCCATTCAAAATAACTGTAAGTAAGCTCTAAACTTGCAAGTATTTTCAATTTTGACCTCTCGTTAATATTTGTCGTTTTCCCATGTGTTAGGCCATTCCTCCATGCTTCCCGTAAATAATTTGTAGTATTTAACATTCCAATGATTCTCAAATACCTTCTTCATCTGCCACTCTCTACCGTATCTCAGCTTTTCGTAAGCATCGTCGATAACAGTTGTATCATCATTGTTAATGTGCAAATTTAAAACATGGAATTTAGGACACCAGACAACTTTCTTGCTAGCAGCTTTCAATCTCAAGAAAAAATCCTGATGTTCGTGTACTTTTAGCTCCTTGCTCCAACCACCAACTTCAAGAATATCTTTTGTCTTTGCCATGAAACTGTTACTGGTCAGATCGCATCGCAAACAATCTGGAAAGAAAGGCAAACTCTGGTTAGCAATCCTGCAGGATCTCGAATAATGGTTAAGAGTTGGTTTTGATTGGTCACAACCAAATTCCATAAACCCAGGCCAGTCCATCGAGTCGGCTCTCCCACCCACTAAAGATAAGTCAGTTGTATCGAGTAGTTCTACGATTTTAGCGGCGTCCCACGATTCTGTGACCACATTGTCGTCGTCCATGTTTACAAAGTATTTTGTCGTTACCATGTTAACTCCTATCATTCTGCCTTCACTAATTCCAAGATCCCTACTTTCATTTATAACGTAATTTATATTTGGGAATCGGGAAATTTTGGCCACGATATCCGAGGGATGCGGGTTGGGGCCATCATCGATCACTATCATCGGAAGATCCTGATTGAGTACTGTTTTTATTGATTCTGCAAGTCTGAGAACCAGGAGAGGTCTCCGTGCTGTCTTCACCACCACAGTTACACATTCAGATAATATTTTGCATATTTCAACTTGTATCTCAGGTAAGAGCTTAGCCATTGGTGGTCGGTTATTGGATGGCGAATCACAAGACTTATCTCCAGACGGCATTAAAAGCGCTGCTCTGTCACGTAGAAATGCACTTTCCTCAAGGAGATCAATCTGCGATGCATCTTTTTTACATTTTTTAGTCAGAACTATTTTCTTTCCCAACCATATGCCTCCACCTCCTTCGGGAGCAATGCAGAGTACTCCACGACCATCTGCTTGATCATCCCTGTAGATGAGTCTACCTTTTTCTAAGTTCAAACTGATTGCTTGTGTACAATCTAGCAGTGTCAGACTGTCACCAGAGGTAGAGTTGTTGAATCCCGCCAAACCGACACAAAGTGAAAATTCTACAGATCTCAGAAATCCGTTGATGTGGTAGAAAGCTTGTTGTTTAACCGGATTACAAAAAGACAGTGTAAGTCTCTTTAATTTGGAAATGCCAACACACAAGCCTTTGTCGGGAAATTGGAGACGATATTTCAATTTGTGAGAAAAGCTTGCTGATTGCTTTACTTTGTCGCTCGGTGAGACAGTTTTAGAAGTAGTGGCAGTAGTATTAGCTATATTATCGGTTTGGGAAGTGGTAGTGGTAGTTATAGTAATCGCTTTAAACTCATGTTGCTTCCTAATAACAGCCGCTGCCGAATTGTTTGAAACTTCCTTCAAGGCATTCTCTATGACACCTGCGCTACTGTTAGATCCTTCACTTCCTCCCAATGAACGCAACTGATGGGATTGTAGTTCCGACACTGCTTGGACAGAGTCCACATCAGTTGATAAGGACACGTGTGCTCCTTTGTCACGTTGGATAAGACTTTGGCAAAATAAAAATACGAGAAAAGACAAATAGGTTACGATAAGTATGTATCCAAGTTTTGAACTAAGATTATGGCATCCACGTTCCATATTAGCAACGTCAAATATCACAATCACTGAAAACACAATTTCGTAATGGTTAATGCTATGTAATTTTATTGTTCAAATAAGTGCACCACCTCCGGTGGGGACGGTATAATAAATAATATACACATAATAATTAATAAATAATACCACATGGAATTGGAGAACAAGCATGTCATCGACAGTGAGTCCCTACTGATATCATGAGAATAACTCTACCATTAATCACGGTCAACAATTTTCTGGATATTCTCTGATGGTTAAAGATCAAACAGAGTCCCTGGGGTCTTGAACATTCATGGTCATTGGCAATGATTATTGTTTACATGGTTATAAATCTGACAAATAAAAAAGCTGGTTTTTAAAAATATTTCTATGAAATAACTAAATTCAGCATGTGGTCGTAACCGTAAAACATTTACTTATTCAAAACAAACGACACAAAAACTTTAATAAATTTAATAACTCTTACTGTGATCGTCTGAAGATTAAATCTAATAAAATAGTAAAGCTTAAGTCAGATCAGAAAAATACTAAAATTGATCACCCCTTAAATTCGAAACTGCTTCTTGATGTTTGGGTACTTCAAGTTTTTGGTTAGATAAAACATAAACTTCGTGTAGGATTAAAAACTCCAATTTAAGTCAAGTATTTATCATGTGATGGGGAAAAATCTTGGTCTGTGATCATATCGATACATTTCTATTTATTCACACATTATATTCATTCAAGTTTATATTGTCCAAAAGTAGCTGTTCACATCACGACAAGGTTTTGAAAGTCCACACTAATGAGGATGGTTCCAATTTCCTCTCCTCTCCACTTTAGGTGCACAATTTGGTTCATCGTGTTGTCCTCCTCCGCAAGATCAAAGTAACCCTGAAATGAAAAATATGGTGTACACGATATAATTTTATCTTTTACATCCTAATATAAACCTGCAGACTATGCCAACTTAATTTGGATCCAAGTCACGTCTGCCGCTTAGGTTTCAAAACTTTAAATGAGTTAAATGGTAATTATAGGTAGAAACTAGAAACCCTTGAAGATGCCCCCCGATCACCTTGTTATCAATTCTCGGTTTAACGGACCGTTATTAACGGTTGTTTAAGAATCGGCGGTGCAAATGAACTCAAGGTTCCAAACTTAATCAAGTTAATATCTCCAGGCTGTTTATTGAGTTAGCCACGGCAGAAATAAACGAAAAAGTCACGTTTGATAGAAATTAATCAAGTTTCCAAATTAACATCGTTTGTACGTCTTCCCTTGTTCACTATAAGTAGCAGTCTTTTACGTTCAATGTTCATGTTCCATTCTCCTAATGCCAAACGCTGTTTAATTTGAGATAACAGCCTTTTTTCAGTGAACTAATTATAGATAATGAAGCACCAATCATGAAATAATGTTCCTCACATACGATCTTGCAATCTCTGCGTTTAATTTATCCCTTTCCCTCTCCTTCCCCCATCCCCTTGTACTTACGTGTCCCTCTCCTTCACCCTTGTACTTACGTGTCCCTCTCCTTCCCCCATCCCCTTGTACTTACGTGTCCCTCTCCTTCCCCCATCCCCTTGTAGTTGTACTTACGTGTCCTAACAAATCGTCATCGCTCATGTGATCCTTATCCTTCAGATGAAACTTAAGTTTGATACATTTAGGATTTCTTTCTGTTTTGATGTAGAACGATTCCTCCACCGATGCTGTCGTCATGTTCGTTTTTGGTTTTGTTGCCCCTAATAACACTTGATTTGCTCTAACCTGAAGGTGGTGAAATTAAATGCCGGCCTGCCAGATATAAATTACAACGAATATTCTTCACGTTCAAAAGCTCAAAGTCAATATTGCATTGTACAGAAATTGCAGTATGCGCACAGCTGTAGCGTTTTCAAATATATCTACTAACAAATCTTTTAAAAGCCAACAAAATACCCACCTCCACGAACGGGTCTATTTCTGATCCGATATCAGTGGATCGTTCAATATTATTAATGGTGTGGATGACAATTCTCATAACAGTGTCGAACTTCTTGTCTTCACTCAACTCAACCTGTGTGATATTTATTTCAATTGGTTGCAAAATTTAAAGTTAATGTTTAACAGTACGTCGACATTCATTTCATCTCAAACATTAAAAAGTTACGATAAAGGACTGAAAGGTTTTTTGCTCTCCGAGAACAGTTCTGCTTACCCCATCCTCCTCGGAGCAGTTGTCCTGGTCCACTTCAGGTTCAGGTGTAGGTTCACCTCTACTAACCTCCTGTAGGTCAACATACCCAGTCTTCTCCTTCAACGCTTCAGCTCCTGTCAGTTCAGCGTCTGAAATTAAAGGAAAGTGAGCAATTCAATTAAAGAAAAGTTCATATTTGAGACGTCTGAAATGGGTTTAAGTTACAAGTTTGGGTGCCAGATATAATAAAATTTAGGAAAGCCAGGAAATTAAGTAATACAAGTGCGAAGTTCCAGAGAAATAATGGGTTTAGAGACTAAAACTCAGCTAGCTGCAGCGGACAATGACGATAATATTGTCAGTGATATTGATATCGCTTTGGTTGATCTCCGATCACTTATTGAATCGGGGGATGGGAAGGGGGGGATTTTTTTTAGCTGTAAATTTAACATGCTCTGCAGACAAGGACATATTATCTTGTAATCATATATTATAGCTTTAACCCCACAACGCATTAATTCTTAAACAATTAGCACATTATCAATTAGTAGAGAGGTGAAATAAGGAGTAAGAATACGTGCATACGTGCATGCAAATTAACCAGCATTTAACTAATATAAACTACCGATATCAGACAGGGGGTTATCTATAGGAGGTTCACTTGGAGCTGGATCAGGTACTGAAGCCACATCATCAGAGCTTGTTGAAATCACGCTGCTGGAAATCACGCTGCTGGTCCGTGATTTAGGAACAGTTGCTAAATCTAACAGTGTAGCCTTGACTTCAACCGGGCCTGAAGTGTACTGTTTATCCGTTCCACTGTCAACTTTGTCTTCTATTATTGGATTTGCATCGTCGCGTGCGTCTTCACCAGTTTGTATTTCTTGGTACCCACTTTTATTAACAATAATGTCCCCATTTGCATCTGCATCACAATCGTTGTGAATAGAGTTCACATCACCGTCTTTTCCATCACAGCATATTTGACTATTCTCGTCTCCTTTTTCTGCGAGCTGTTCTTGCTTATGTTTCCCTAAATAGGAGCTTTCAGCACAGCATTGATGCTTTAGGGCTCGTTCAATGACTAAAGCTAGGACCGGAGAAAGAATTGTACTCGAAATTACAGAAACAAACTTTTGTTATAATAATAATTAACAGGGATGCTACCGTTATTTTCATGTCTTTTGACAAAAGTGCTTAATGTTTACTCATTAATAAATGACTACCGACCTCCAATTTAGATGATAATTTATATTGATAAAGGCTAATCGTTGTAATTGTAAAGGGGTGATTTAAAGCGTTGGCTATATTTCAAATTTTCGGATTGTTCGTAAAGAACATTTTTTCGCTCGGTCAAAATCGGCAAGTATAAACATATCCCTAACAATTTGGTAACAATTGAGAAGTCCCGCAGCTGAAAAAGTGCTTCTTTTCGGCCCGGCCAAAATAAAAGTTAATCAAAAGCAAAATCAAGGCAGATTCTCAGATTCTCAGATTCAAACTTAAAATGCTTACCTTGAGAATTGGAGTTTCCCATACTTTCAGCGAGGTCGGAATCTTTTGGAGAGGTACGAAAAGGTCCACAAAAAAGAGGTATGAAAATACGTCGAGGAACACTAATGTAAAATCGCCATCAAAACCCTTTTTATCTTCTGTCTGTAATCAAAGATAAGGCACTGTAACGTAAACCGGGCATGAAGTCAGTATCAGAGTTGATAAAGCCAAGCTAATAATGCTTGGGAATTTTAACTCGGATAGTAGAATCATTAGGTATATAATACGCAGTTCCGAGCTGCTTCATAGCGATAAGCTCGTCACAAAAGCCCTTCTCATGTTAAAAATAGATTACCACGAGGAGAAGCTGTTAATTTAATTTTCACTGCCAGCTTGCCAGCTTGTGGGATGAATGACTTTAGAACTTACTTTTTTACTCGTTTTATCTTTGAATTTGTAATTGTACTGCTTATCTTTTTGCGATAACTAAAATATGTGAGCAGTGCTGAGTTCTATCGCGGTTTTTAATCGTGGGTGATAATCTAGGGATGTCTAGAAAAGTTCCTTTAGATAACTTTTTCCTTATCTAATACTCAAAATATCCGTCGGTAAAGTAAGTGCCAATGTAGATACAAAATTGTAGAGTGCACTGTGGGTGCCAATATTTCAATAATGAATAAACCAGAAAACTTTGATATTACTAAAATGAATGATTATTATTCACCAAAAAATGAGAACACATCCTTCATCAAAATTGAAAAGCAGCCTCTAAGCTGAAAGTTTTGACTCGACGTTTAACAAAATATTTAACAAATAAAAAAATCTTAAGTGGATTAAAGTGTAACAGAATCTGATGAGAGACATATCTAAGTACTATAGCTACCACACACAACTGACCACTATACTAAAGTTAGTGCCTAATGTTTTACTGTCAATGAATAATGAACAACAGCAGCTGTCTCGTGGTTATCATACGATTCTAAAGAAACGACAAGAAACTGATAAAACTCACACAAACAGTAGTTCTCAAACACAGTGCTACTTAATCCAGTGTTTGTAAATATAATTCACACTAAGAAGTTATCAGAACACAGAGAGGGACATCCTAGTAGAGCAGTGACAAATAAGAGCAGAACAATTAAGCAGAATAATTAAGTAGACGGGGCAGTATGTCACACTGTAGTGTGTAGAATTAAGACAAAAGGTAAATGCCAATAACTTCTTATTTACTATTTAGCTACAGTATAGAGACGTAAGGTCTGTTTTGTGTTGTTAAATATAGGTTGAGCTAAAGACTCCATATCATTGTTAAAGTGCATTAATAAGTAAGTTTTTACAAGGCTCTATCTCACTCCAAGGTTTTAATTATCTAACACGCTTCTTGTACATAACGTGATTAAGTTACAGCAGGGGGCAGGGACACCAGACACCTTACACAATATCATTAATTATTCCTATTAATTATTTCTATTAATACAATACGACCACTGGTAATAAGTAACATATGTTACATGGTCCCCAACTTTCACCAGACAGATAACAAGATGCATTGGAATAAGTACTTAAATTGTCTTATTTCCGTTGCGTTTAAAATAAAACACAAATCTTGATATCGATCGATAAGTTAATAAATATTTAGAGCTACAAAAAACTACACGAAGTTAACTAATTAACAAATTGTTTAAGCATCATATAGAGAGGTGATAACCGTCGATAAATCACTTTTAACACGAAAAGCTAACGAAATGGCCTTTTAGAACGGTCTGGATCCGACTACACATGAAGTAAACTCTACCAGTAACTGCAAACCTTTAGAAAACACGTAATATTACCACTATTCTAGGAGTAATATTGACACGTCCTTACGACGCCCCTGCTGCGAATGTGAAACTCTCCCATGTCCCCTTACTAAACAACCACGTGTCCCCACGTGTCCCCCACGTGTCCCCCACGTACCCCCACATTGTCTGTACAATGACCCACCACCACTCATTTCTGTTCGTCCACTCTGTTCTGATTGGCTACTTGACATTTCTCTGAGCTGTAATTGGCTAATGAATGGATTGGAAGGTCACGTGTTCTGTTTTTCACAGAAGGGAGTGACCATATGGCAGCACTGCGATATTGATCTCGTCTTCAATGTCGGTCTTGACGTTATAGCTGTAGAATTAGGTCATCAAGTTACTGTAAAATGTGTATTTACTAAAGGATATGCGAGTGATAGATCCTTATTGAAGGATCACATGTTCAGGTGTTCAGTAAACGAGCCATTTAACTTCGGGACTTTTCACACACCTCAACTACATAAGCAGGGCCGGGCTAGGGCCTAGGTTAATTGTATTTCAGTATTACACAAAATAATAACAGGAAATCATATAATTTAGGTGTTAAACATGGAGAAATCCTCCCAAACTCTCCTGGTAGTGGTATTGCTGGTGGTGGCAGGTGGGTGAATAGTGCTTTTTTATACAGTTTAATTTAAATTTATACTGTTTATTAGCCGGTTATTAGCCGGTTATTAGCCGGTTATCAGCCGATTATTAGCCGGTTATTAGCCGGTTATTAGCCGGTTATTAGCCGGTTATTAGCCGGTTATTAGCCAGGTTATTAGCCGGTTATTAGCCGGTTATTAGCCGGTTATTAGCCAGGTTATTAGCCGGTTATTAGCCGGTTATTAGCCGGTTATTAGCCGGTTATTAGCCGGTTATCAGCCGATTATTAGCCGGTTATTAGCCAGGTTATTAGCCGATTATTAGCCGGTTATTAGCCGGTTATTAGCCAGGTTATTAGCCGGTTATTAGCCAGGTTATTAGCCAGTTATTAGCCAGGTTATTAGCCAGGTTATTAGCCGGTTTATTAGCCGGTAATTAGCCGGTTATTAGCCGGTTATTAGCCGGTTGTTAGCCAGTTAATAGCCGGTTATTAGCCAGGTTATTAGCCAGTTATTAGCCAGGTTAATAGCAGGTTATTATCCGGTTATCAGCCGGTTTATTAGCCGGTTAATAGCCGGTTTATTAGCCGGTTATCAGCCGATTATTAGCCGGTTATTAGCCGGTTATTAGCCGGTTATTAGCCGGTTATTAGCCGGTTATTAGCCAGGTTATTAGCCGGTTATTAGCCGGTTATTAGCCGGTTATTAGCCAGGTTATTAGCCGGTTATTAGCCGGTTATTAGCCGGTTATTAGCCGGTTATTAGCCGGTTATCAGCCGATTATTAGCCGGTTATTAGCCAGGTTATTAGCCGATTATTAGCCGGTTATTAGCCGGTTATTAGCCAGGTTATTAGCCGGTTATTAGCCAGGTTATTAGCCAGTTATTAGCCAGGTTATTAGCCAGGTTATTAGCCGGTTTATTAGCCGGTAATTAGCCGGTTATTAGCCGGTTATTAGCCGGTTGTTAGCCAGTTAATAGCCGGTTATTAGCCAGGTTATTAGCCAGTTATTAGCCAGGTTATTAGCCGGTTATTAGCCAGGTTATTAGCCGGTTATTAGCCGGTTATTAGCCGGTTATTAGCCGGTTATTAGCCGGTTATCAGCCGATTATTAGCCGGTTATTAGCCAGGTTATTAGCCGATTATTAGCCGGTTATTAGCCGGTTATTAGCCAGGTTATTAGCCGGTTATTAGCCGGTTATTAGCCAGGTTATTAGCCGGTTATTAGCCAGGTTATCAGCCGATTATTAGCCGGTTATTAGCCAGGTTATTAGCCGATTATTAGCCGGTTATTAGCCGGTTATTAGCCAGGTTATTAGCCGGTTATTAGCCGGTTATTAGCCAGGTTATTAGCCGGTTATTAGCCGGTTATTAGCCGGTTATTAGCCAGGTTATTAGCCGGTTATTAGCCAGGTTATTAGCCGGTTATCAGCCTGTTATTAGCCGGTTATTAGCCAGGTTATTAGCCGGTTATTAGCCAGGTTATTAGCCGGTTATTAGCCAGGTTATTAGCCAGTTTATTAGCCGGTTATTAGCCAGGTTATTAGCCGGTTATTAGCCAGGTTATTAGCCGGTTATCAGCCTGTTATTAGCCGGTTATTAGCCAGGTTATTAGCCGGTTATTAGCCAGGTTATTAGCCGGTTATCAGCCTGTTATTAGCCGGTTATTAGCCAGGTTATTAGCCGGTTATTAGCCAGGTTATTAGCCGGTTATTAGCCAGGTTATTAGCCAGTTTATTAGCCGGTTAATATCCGGTTTATTAGCAGGTTATTAGCCGGTTATCAGCCGGTTGTTAGCCGGTTATTAGCCAGGTTATTAGCCGGTTATTAGCCGGTTATTAGCCGGTTATTAGCCAGGTTATTAGCCGGTTATTAGCCCGGTTAATAGCCGGTTTATTAGCCGGTTATCAGCCGATTATTAGCCGGTTATTAGCCGGTTATTAGCCGGTTATTAGCCGGTTATTAGCCGGTTATTAGCCAGGTTATTAGCCGGTTATTAGCCGGTTATTAGCCGGTTATTAGCCAGGTTATTAGCCGGTTATTAGCCGGTTATTAGCCGGTTATTAGCCGGTTATTAGCCGGTTATCAGCCGATTATTAGCCGGTTATTAGCCAGGTTATTAGCCGATTATTAGCCGGTTATTAGCCAGGTTATTAGCCAGTTTATTAGCCGGTTAATATCCGGTTTATTAGCAGGTTATTAGCCGGTTATCAGCCGGTTGTTAGCCGGTTATTAGCCAGGTTATTAGCCGGTTATTAGCCGGTTATTAGCCGGTTATTAGCCGGTTATTAGCCGGTTATTAGCCCGGTTAATAGCCGGTTTATTAGCCGGTTATCAGCCGATTATTAGCCGGTTATTAGCCGGTTATTAGCCGGTTATTAGCCGGTTATTAGCCGGTTATTAGCCAGGTTATTAGCCGGTTATTAGCCGGTTATTAGCCGGTTATTAGCCAGGTTATTAGCCGGTTATTAGCCGGTTATTAGCCGGTTATTAGCCGGTTATTAGCCGGTTATCAGCCGATTATTAGCCGGTTATTAGCCAGGTTATTAGCCGATTATTAGCCGGTTATTAGCTAGGTTATTAGCCAGGTTATTAGCCGGTTATTAGCCGGTTAATATCCGGTTATTAGCCGGTTATTAGCCGGTTATTAGCCGTTTATTATCCGGTTATCAGCCGGTTATTAGCCAGGTTATTAGCCGGTTATTAGCCAGGTTATTAGCCGGTTATTAGCCGGTTATTAGCCAGGTTATTAGCCGGTTATTAGCCAGGTTATTAGCCAGTTATTAGCCAGGTTATTAGCCAGGTTATTAGCCGGTTATTAGCCGGTAATTAGCCGGTTATTAGCCGGTTATTAGCCGGTTTATTATCCGGTTATCAGCCGGTTATTAGCCGGTTATTAGCCGGTTTATTAGCCGGTTAATAGCCGGTTTATTAGCCGGTTATTAGCCAGGTTATTAGCCGGTTATTAGCCAGGTTATTAGCCGGTTATTAGCCGGTTTATTAGCCGGTTATTAGCCAGGTTATTAGCCGGTTATTAGCCAGGTTATTAGCCGGTTATTAGCCGGTTGTTAGCCGGCTATTAGCCGGTCATTAGCCGGTTATTAGCCAGTTATTAGCCGGTTATTAGCCGGTTATTAGCCAGGTTATTAGCCGGTTATTAGCCGGTTTATTAGCCGGTTATTAGCCAGGTTATTAGCCGGTTATTAGCCGGTTGTTAGCCAGTTATAAGCCGGTTATTAGCCGGTTATTAGCCGGTTTATTATCCGGTTATTAGCCGGTTATTAGCCGGTTTATTATCCGGTTATTAGCCGGTTATTAGCCGGTTTATTAGCCAGGTTATTAGCCGGTTATTAGCCGGTTAATAGCCAGGTTATTAGCCGGTTATTAGCCGGTTTATTATCCGGTTATTAGCCGGTTATTAGCCGGTTTATTAGCCGGTTTATTAGCCGGTTAATATCCGGTTTATTAGCCGGTTATTAGCCGGTTATTAGCCGGTTTATTAGCCGGTTATTAGCCGGTTATTAGCCGGTTATTAGCCGGTTATTAGCCGGTTATTAGCCAGGTTATTAGCCGGTTATTAGCCGGTTATTAGCCAGGTTATTAGCCGGTTATCAGCCGGTTGTTAGCCGGTTATTAGCCGGTTATTAGCCGGTTATTAGCCAGGTTATTAGCCGGTTATTAGCCGGTTATTAGCCAGGTTATTAGCCGGTTATTAGCCGGTTTATTATCCGGTTATCAGCCGGTTATTAGCCGGTTATTAGCCGGTTTATTAGCCGGTTAATATCCGGTTTATTAGCCGGTTATTAGCCGGTTATTAGCCGGTTATTAGCCGGTTATTAGCCGGTTATTAGCCGGTTATTAGCCGGTTATTAGCCGGTTATTAGCCAGGTTATTAGCCGGTTATCAGCCGGTTGTTAGCCGGTTATTAGCCGGTTATTAGCCGGTTTATTAGCCGGTTTATTAGCCGGTTAATATCCGGTTTATTAGCCGGTTATTAGCCGGTTATTAGCCGGTTTATTAGCCGGTTATTAGCCGGTTATTAGCCGGTTATTAGCCGGTTATTAGCCGGTTATTAGCCAGGTTATTAGCCGGTTATTAGCCGGTTATTAGCCAGGTTATTAGCCGGTTATCAGCCGGTTGTTAGCCGGTTATTAGCCGGTTATTAGCCGGTTTATTATCCGGTTATCAGCCGGTTATTAGCCGGTTATTAGCCGGTTTATTAGCCGGTTAATATCCGGTTTATTAGCCGGTTATTAGCCGGTTATTAGCCGGTTTATTAGCCGGTTATTAGCCGGTTATTAGCCGGTTATTAGCCGGTTATTAGCCGGTTATTAGCCGGTTATTAGCCAGGTTATTAGCCGGTTATTAGCCGGTTTATTATCCGGTTATCAGCCGGTTATTAGCCGGTTATTAGCCGGTTTATTAGCCGGTTAATATCCGGTTTATTAGCCGGTTATTAGCCGGTTATTAGCCGGTTTATTAGCCGGTTATTAGCCGGTTATTAGCCGGTTATTAGCCGGTTATTAGCCGGTTATTAGCCAGGTTATTAGCCGGTTATCAGCCGGTTGTTAGCCGGTTATTAGCCGGTTATTAGCCGGTTATTAGCCAGGTTATTAGCCGGTTATTAGCCGGTTATTAGCCGGTTATTAGCCAGGTTATTAGCCGGTTATCAGCCGGTTGTTAGCCAGGTTATTAGCCGGTTATTAGCCAGGTTATTAGCCGGTTATTAGCCGGTTATTAGCCAGGTTATTAGCCGGTTATTAGCCGGTTTATTATCCGGTTATCAGCCGGTTATTAGCCGGTTATTAGCCGGTTTATTAGCCGGTTAATATCCGGTTTATTAGCCGGTTATTAGCCGGTTATTAGCCGGTTTATTAGCCGGTTATTAGCCGGTTATTAGCCGGTTATTAGCCGGTTATTAGCCGGTTATTAGCCAGGTTATTAGCCGGTTATCAGCCGGTTGTTAGCCGGTTATTAGCCGGTTATTAGCCGGTTATTAGCCAGGTTATTAGCCGGTTATTAGCCGGTTATTAGCCGGTTATTAGCCAGGTTATTAGCCGGTTATCAGCCGGTTGTTAGCCAGGTTATTAGCCGGTTATTAGCCGGTTATTAGCCGGTTATTAGCCGGTTATTAGCCGGTTATTAGCCGGTTATTAGCCGGTTATTAGCCGGTTATCAGCCGGTTATTAGCCGGTTATTAGCCAGGTTATTAGCCGGTTATCAGCCGGTTGTTAGCCGGTTATTAGCCGGTTATTAGCCAGGTTATTAGCCGGTTATTAGCCGGTTATTAGCCGGTTTTTGGCAAGTTTGTTAGCCGGTTATTAGCCGGTTATCAGCCGATTATTAGCCGGTTATTAGCCGGTTATTAGCCGGTTATTAGCCGGTTATTAGCCGGTTATTAGCCAGGTTATTAGCCGGTTATTAGCCGGTTATTAGCCGGTTATTAGCCAGGTTATTAGCCGGTTATTAGCCGGTTATTAGCCGGTTATTAGCCGGTTATTAGCCGGTTATCAGCCGATTATTAGCCGGTTATTAGCCAGGTTATTAGCCGATTATTAGCCGGTTATTAGCCGGTTATTAGCCAGGTTATTAGCCGGTTATTAGCCGGTTATTAGCCAGGTTATTAGCCGGTTATTAGCCAGGTTATTAGCCAGTTATTAGCCAGGTTATTAGCCAGGTTATTAGCCGGTTTATTAGCCGGTAATTAGCCGGTTATTAGCCGGTTATTAGCCGGTTTATTATCCGGTTATCAGCCGGTTATTAGCCGGTTATTAGCCGGTTTATTAGCCGGTTAATAGCCGGTTTATTAGCCGGTTATTAGCCAGGTTATTAGCCGGTTATTAGCCAGGTTATTAGCCGGTTATTAGCCGGTTTATTAGCCGGTTATTAGCCAGGTTATTAGCCGGTTATTAGCCAGGTTATTAGCCGGTTATTAGCCGGTTGTTAGCCAGTTATCAGCCGGTTATTAGCCGGTTATTAGCCGGTTTATTATCCGGTTATTAGCCGGTTATTAGCCGGTTTATTATCCGGTTATTAGCCGGTTATTAGCCGGTTTATTAGCCAGGTTATTAGCCGGTTATTAGCCGGTTAATAGCCAGGTTATTAGCCGGTTATTAGCCGGTTTATTATCCGGTTATTAGCCGGTTATTAGCCGGTTTATTAGCCGGTTTATTAGCCGGTTAATATCCGGTTTATTAGCCGGTTATTAGCCGGTTATTAGCCGGTTTATTAGCCGGTTATTAGCCGGTTATTAGCCGGTTATTAGCCGGTTATTAGCCGGTTATTAGCCAGGTTATTAGCCGGTTATTAGCCGGTTATTAGCCAGGTTATTAGCCGGTTATCAGCCGGTTGTTAGCCGGTTATTAGCCGGTTATTAGCCGGTTATTAGCCAGGTTATTAGCCGGTTATCAGCCGGTTATTAGCCGGTTATTAGCCAGGTTATTAGCCGGTTATTAGCCGGTTATTAGCCAGGTTATTAGCCGGTTATTAGCCGGTTTATTAGCCGGTTGTTAGCCGGTTATTAGCCGGTTTATTAGCCGGTTATTAGCCGGTTTATTATCCGGTTATTAGCCGGTTTATTATCAGGTTATTAGCCGGTTATTAGCCGGTTATTTAGCCAGGTTATTAGCCGGTTTATTAGCCGGTTAATATCCGGTTTATTAGCCGGTTATTAGCCGGTTATTAGCCGGTTTATTAGCCGGTTATTAGCCGGTTGTTAGCCGGCTATTAGCCGGTCATTAGCCGGTTATTAGCCGGTTATTTAGCCAGGTTATTAGCCGGTTATAGGCCGGTTATTAGCTAGGTTATTAGCCATGAGCCTATTTAACTGACTTTGGAGCACGTCCCACAATATAATACGTAAACATGGCAGTGATGGCACTTGTAGATATTTTGAAACATTTAGCGTTTTTCAGGGCAGATTGACAGTAGGAACCTCGGTGAGGTTGATTTGTCAAATGAAGAGGCAATGTCTCAACTTCTAGACCAAATTGATGCTACAAGAATAGGCAACTTCATTGAGTGAGTATTTAGTTACAATAAACGAGAGCAAGCATGTCATTACATACATTACAAGCATGTCATTACATACATTACAAGCATGTCATTACATACATTGTCATCACAAATGACCAAATTTGTATGGTTTGCAAATCAGTTCAGATTCCAAATGTTCAGGAATATGACACTGCATCCAAGAAACACTCAAAGTGACTGGATGGGGGAGAAAGAAGAAACGGTGAAACAAATGTTCAAGGATTTTGGGATGGATGTTATTACGAAGAAATACAAAGTCCTTCAGTGTTTCCCTAAAGATGTCGATCCATCGTTAGTATTTCTATCTTATACAATTTCGCGATCTTTACAATGTTCTATACACAAAACGTTGAGATAAGTTACTTTCTCATTAAAACACAAATTTTGTGTTTTAACAGTCACATTCACAGAACAGCACCAGAAATTACCACTGCTAAAGTCGAACTGGTATTTGATTTAAATATAAAGCTTGTTACCCCTACAGATTGACGGAGGTTCTAAATGCAGCAGGAGACGTTGTGGAAACTTACAGAGAGGACGGTAACAAAGCAGAACGTATTCTTCCAGCTTTTAATGCTTGGTCGAAAAGTGGAACAGTCGAGGTTAGAATTCGATATACTTTATTTTCGTGAAATGTAAACTAAATTTCATTTTAAATTAATAATTCATAAATTTGATATTTTAACATGTGAAGTGTTGGGAAATGGGAATAGGATTTAAAATAGAAACCAAATCTAGGGAGAGCCAGTTTACGTGAACTATGGAAGAAAAGAAGACTATGACTACCTTACCAAGGATTTAGGCATGGATCTTACTGGAAAAATAGCTATTGCTAGATATGGAAAGATATATCGAGGAGATAAGGTAAATTTATCTCAAAGAAAATCATATTTTTTCGGGGAGTAATATTTTTGCCATAATACTTCTTGACCGCAATAAAGTCATACGAAGTTGAATATACAGCTTTAATGCATAAAACCATGATATGCCCAACAAGCTTAAACAGCCAAGCATAGTAACAGTAACCATAGTAACACTAACAGTAACCAAGCCCTAAAGCCACTTTTCATCCCAGTCCAAGTTTGCAAAACAGAATGGTATGATAGGAGTCATAATCTACATGGACGCGAAGGACTACGCCCCTGAGGGTGTTGATAGGATGCCAGATGGTCCAGCACTACCGGAAACAGGAATACAGCGGGGAACTCTAAAGGATGGACTGGGGGATCCCTCCACTTACCTCTATCCTTCAACAAGTAAATACTAGTTATATTAGTTTCTACTAGTTAGATGTCACGTCTTTGTGGGTACTTCAACTGATCATGTCCATTCCGTGTTTACTCTTGAACAGAATCCTCAAATCCTGACCTGCTGATAAAATTTTCAACATTCTTTTAATAAATAAAACGATCAGATAACTGTGTATAATCTGTATATAACGGAAAATTCTGCAAAATCGAACAATTCAATCGTAAATGCTAGCCAGTTAACTTTAACCCTAAACGTGACCCATCTTGTACCTTTAGGTTAAATAATTGCAATTATCCAAATAATTCTCGTGTCACGTGTCAGAGCTATTGTTAACTAACTTCCCTCAGAGCCAGGCTGTTAAATTTGCCAAATTTTCGTCAAAAAGTACGGCGTCTTTAGAGTTCTCAAAAAGTACGCATTTAATTCGAATAATACGTTTAGTGCGAATTTAACAGCATTCCCTCAGAGTACGCGTACCACGACTCACCTGAAGAGTACCAAAGCAGACTCCCTGGCATTGTTGTCATGCCAATCAACTTTAAAAATGCTCTGCCCCTTCTTGCCAGTCTTGATGGTATGTGTTTGATCTTTAAGTGTGGATTGTGATACTGATTATAAGATACAAATACAATAAACATTTTTGTGATAGTTGTTAATTTTACGGACCTATTTCAAACACTACTTTCGTGGAGTTGAGAAGTTTTAAAAATCCAGGTCAATAATTTTATAAATTGCTAAATTATATTTATCGTTTGATGATCAATTATCGCTGAATTAACATGGATGTATGATTTGTAAACTCGAGTTCCTATAGGAGATGAAGTTAAGGATGAGTGGCAAGGAGCTGGGAGTGAAACTCTTTTGAAATACAAATATGGACCTGGATTCAAAAATGGTTCCAACAAGAAAAAACTTAGGATAACGGTAAATTTTAAACCTTTTTCGAGTAATATTGAAAGTGATTTGCGAGGGATATGAAGAAAGTTATAAAAATGTGAATACAATTTAGTTGACAACAAGAATAAATAAAATCATTATGGCAGGTAAACCTGGAATACAGGATGGTTGAGATAGAAAACATATTTGGAGTTATAAAAGGGCAACAAGAACCAGACAGGTGGGTCATGATGGGAAATCACAGGGACACTTGGGTGCACGGCGCCGTGGATGCTACAACTGGACTTGCCGGTGAGATTGTGATCCAGAAAGTTAGAAAATAAAGGGAACCAATGATTATCTTGTGCCAAGAATTTAATTCGAAAGAAATTGATTAAGCATCGCCTAACGAATGTCAAATATTATCGACATGAATTGGGTTAGACAAATACAAATGATTGAGCCAGTTAATAATTGTTACCCCTTTCTCAGCACTGAATGAGATTGGACACGGACTGTTCAAACTAAGGGAACAAGGATGGAAGCCAAGGAGAACCATTGTACTGGCTAGTTGGGGAGCTGAGGTATTATTGTATAACAGCCCCCCCCCCCCCTTCTATTTTATCTTCTCCCTCCCCCATTTTATCTTCTCCCCCCCCCACCCACCCCCCCCCCCCCCAAGGAGAACCATTTTACTGGCTAGTTGGGGAGCTGAGGTATTATTGTATAACAGCCCCCCCCCCCTTCTATTTTATCTTCTCCCTCCCCCATTTTATCTTCTCCCCCCCCCCCACCCACCCCCCCCCCCTCCCCCAAGGAGAACCATTGTACTGGCTAGTTGGGGAGCTGAGGTATTATTGTATAACAGCCCCCCCCCCTCTATTTTATCTTCTCCCTTCTCCATTTTATCTTCTCTCTCGCCCCCCCCCTCCCCCCTCCCCCCCCCAGAAGAACAATTGTACTGGCTAGTTGGGGAGCTGAGGTATTATTGTCCCGATGTTCTTGTAATTCTAATTATTTGTATGCTTTAAAAAATCATGCAATATTATGTCTGCATGCAGCATTCATATTATTAAAAATATAATATAGTTAGAAAAATATTACAAAAGTTCTTATAATAAGTTGGTTGAATGGATATGATTTGGCAAGATTGTTATGAAAGTTTTTAGTCTGAAAACTGACGATAATTCGTGTAGGAGCAAGGTATAATCGGGAGTACAGAGTTTGTCGAGGACTACATGACACTTCTCCAAGAGAAGATGGTTGCTTACATCAATGTTGATGTAGCAGCTTCTGATCAGAAGTACTTCAAACCTTCAGCCACGCCTAACTTCAGGTAATCTTGAGGTTTTGTTTACACATTCAGGAATCTCCTCTAAAACGAAATATATTATATGTATATATCTATTTTTAGTATCAGCATTTTGTTTCATCTTTTAAATCACAATTTTAACTGTTGATGGGTGTTTGCAGGCCGCTTCTGGAGAGGGCAGCTAAACAGGCAGGTGCACCTCTTGACAGTACATACGGCACCTTTTACGAGCAATGGGACACATTGTAAGTTCTTTAGATTAATGGATGCTTTCTGATTTCTTAAGAACGAGGAAAATGTATGCGATATAAGAACCCTAATCCCAATGCTAATATTGTAAATTAAGTAATATTCAATATAATTAAGTAATATTAAGTAATATTAAGTAATATTTCAAATTAAGTAATATTGTGCAGAACAAAAGAAGAACACCCTGAGTTAACTGCCCCAAAGATCGGAGATTTGGGTTCTGGTTCGGACTACGCTGCCTTTATCAACATGGCAGGTCACATAATCAATTATTATATTTATATCTTTATACAGACTTTATACATACTTGAGGTACCTAGTGGCTAGTATATATATATAGTAGGAACCCTCACAAGCTTTTGTTAACTCCCTGTTCTGAGTATACCGTACTGGTTATACAGTACAGTATACTGGTACTGGTGCAGTATACTGGTACTGGTACAGTATACTGGTATTGTTACAGTATACTGGTACTGGTACAGTATACTGGTATTGGTACAGTATACTGGTACTGGTTATACAGTACAGTATACTGGTACTGGTACAGTATACTGGTACTGGTACAGTATACTGGTACTGGTACAGTATACTGGTACTGGTACAGTATACTGGTATTGGTACAGTATACTGGTACTGGTTATACAGTACAGTATACTGGTACTGGTGCAGTATACTGGTACTGGTACAGTATACTGGTACTGGTACAGTATACTGGTACTGGTACAGTATACTGGTATTGGTACAGTATACTGGTACTGGTTATACAGTACAGTATACTGGTACTGGTACAGTATACTGGTACTGGTACAGTATACTGGTACTGGTTATACAGTACAGTATACTGGTACTGGTACAGTATACTGGTACTGGTACAGTATACTGGTACTGGTACAGTATACTGGTACTGGTACAGTATACTGGTACTGGTTATACAGTACAGTATACTGGTACTGGTACAGTATACTGGTACTGGTACAGTATACTGGTACTGGTACAGTATACTGGTACTGGTACAGTATACTGGTACTGGTACAGTATACTGGTACTGGTACAGTATACTGGTACTGGTACAGTATACTGGTACTGGTACAGTATACTGGTACTGGTACAGTATACTGGTACTGGTACAGTATACTGGTACTGGTACAGTATACTGGTACTGGTACAGTATACTGGTACTGGTACAGTATACTGGTACTGGTTATACAGTACAGTATACTGGTACTGGTTATACAGTACAGTATACTGGTACTGGTTATACAGTACAGTATACTGGTACTGGTACAGTATACTGGTACTGGTACAGTATACTGGTACTGGTTATACAGTACAGTATACTGGTATTGGTACAGTATACTGGTACTGGTTATACAGTACAGTATACTGGTACTGGTACAGTATACTGGTACTGGTACAGTATACTGGTACTGGTTATACAGTACAGTATACTGGTACTGGTACAGTATACTGGTACTGTTACAGTATACTGGTACTGGTTAGGTTTTGTTGGAGAACATTTTTCTAGTTCTAAATAGTTCCACACATTTATAGCTCAACAAATATCAACAAATATTACCAAATTTCTAAATCCCTCGGTTCCGTGTTTCTTTACTTACTAACTGTGTTGTTTCAGGAGTATCCTGCATCGATCTGACGATAGTGGGACCCTACTACACGTATCACACAGAGTACGATAACTATCACTACCTCAGCAACTATGCTGATCCTGGAATGAAGGGAACTAAGTGAGTTGCATTGCCCCCCCCCTCCATTTTATCTTCTATCCCCCCCCCCATTTTATCTTCTATCCCCCCCATTTTATCCTCCCCCCCCCCCATTTTATCTTCTCTCCCGCACCCCCCTCCCCCCATTTTATCTTCTCCCCCCCCCCCCCATTTTATCTTCTCTCCCGCATCCCCCCCCCCATTTTATCTTCTCCCCCCCCCCCATTTTATGTTCTCCCCCCCCCCCATTTTATGTTCTCTCCCGCACCCCCCCCCCCCCATTTTATCTTCTCTCCCGCCCCCCCCCCCTATTTTATCTTCTCTTCCCGCCCCCCCCCCATTTTATCTTCTCTCTCACCCCCCCCCCCATTTAATCTTCTCCCCCCCCATTTTATCTTCTCTCCCCCCCCCCCCAATTTATCTTCTCCCCCCCCCCCCCCATTTTATCTTCTCTCCCCCCCCCATTTTATCTTCTCTCCCACCCCCCCCCCCCCCCCATTTTATCTTCTCTCCCCCCCCCCCATTTTATTTTCGATTTTGACCGGGATTAAGCGTGATTCCGGTCGAGCCTTCATCATGACCACGTTACAGAGCAGTAGCTGAAGTAGCAGCAGTGATCCTGCTTGAACTTGCTTCTGAGAAGCTTGTTCCTCTGGATGCTTCATCTTACAGTAACTACGTGAATAATAAGATCAGCTCCAGTACTTTGGAGGAGGACCTGGCTGCCAATGATATTGATTATGGTACATAAAATTTGGATTCCACGCACTAGATGAAGTTTTGCATGAATCATTTATTATATCGTGAATAATAATTAATAAATGGCTCGATCAGTTAATGTATGCGACTAAAAGCCCACATAATAATTTATCAAATTCAGGTATTCTTAAAAAATCTCTTGCAAAGTTTGTTGAAAATGCTCGAGAATACGAAGACTCCAGGTCAAAGTTGCTTGAAGACAAATCCAGGTTATTTATTTAAATCTCTTGATCGTGCAATAATCATGCAAAAGTTTAAATAACCGGTTGTTAAATACCACGGCTATTAATATCGCCGGAAAGATTATTTAACTAATGTTATAACGTACTGGCATCATTTCTCCGGAAATATACTGAAATCATGGCACGGCAAATTAGAGTTTTTAACTAATTACAACACTACAAATCTATTACATTTATTGTAATTGAGGACGATACAGAAGGAATGTATTTAATGTAGTTATTGAGGAGTCCTAACTCTCCTCACGTCCTTAAATGGAGTTTTCATTTTACCATATATGTATTTATCACGGCTATTAATATCGCCGGAAAGATCATTTAACTGATGTTATAACTAGATATACTGAAATCATTATATAGAGGTTCCTCATCACAGAAAGCAGATGGATATGCGACGATTCAACGATCAGATGTTGCAGATGGAACGTAGCTTCATCTACCCGCCTGGACTCCCTAATCGCCCTCAAAACAGGTTATTAATTGATTAATCAATTAATTAATGATCAGTTAATTAACGATTCGATTGAAGAGGGTCCATAGATATTGCCAACTGTTTACCTATCAAGACTCTCATTTATTGATCAGTTTTAAGATGATGTATTATTTGAAGGTCACGACTCACTCAACATGAATAAACTGAGAAAAATCGCGTTTTAAACCTTTTTCTCGGTGCAAAAGTGGGCACAAAACCACTGCACAACTATTCAGGCACATTATGATTACACAACTATTCAGGCACATTCTGATTACACAACTATTCAGGCACATTCTGATTACAAAACTATTCAGGCACATTCTGATTACACAACTATTCAGGCACATTCTGATTACACAACTTTTCAGGCACATTCTGATTACACAATTATTCAGGCACATTCTGATTACACAACTATTCAGGCACATTCTGATTACAAAACTATTCAGGCACATTCTGATTACACAACTATTCAGGCACATTCTGATTACACAACTTTTCAGGCACATTCTGATTACACAACTATTCAGGCACATTCTGATTACACAACTATTCAGGCACATTCTGATTACACATTACACAACTATTCAGGCACATTCTGATTGCACAACTATTCAGGCACATTCTGATTGCACCAAGTATACTGAACTCCTACAGTGGATCAGTATTCCCAGGCCTGTTTGACTCCCTCACGTTAGCTAAAGAAATAGACACTGATGAGAACTGGAATCAGGTAATAATTGTGGCTATATTAATGATTGCAAGTAATCCTGTCAATATCTAATCTCCAACATGATTTGGAGAGAAAACAGCACTGCCAGCGACAGCACTGCCAGCGACAGCACTGCCAGCGACAGCACTGCCAGCAACAGCACTGCCAGCTACAGCACTGCCAGCGACAGCACTGCCAGCGACAGCACTGCCAGCGACAGCACTGCCAGCTACAGCACTGCCAGCAACAGCACTGCCAGCAACAGCACTGCCAGCGACAGCACTGCCAGCGACAGCACTGCCAGCTACAGCACTGCCAGCAACAGCACTGCCAGCAACAGATTTCAAATTATTGTAATCGCATCACTGCCGTAGAATGTGACCATAATGGCTCAATTTTCTTTACGATATGAGGCAATTTTAATCACACTTCTTTTAGGTAAAGAAACAGTTGACTATTGCAATATGAGGAAATTTTAATCACACTTCTTTTAGGTAAAGAAACAGTTGACTATTGCAGCGTGGGTAACGAAGGCAGCCGCTCGTTCCCTATCCTCTGAAGTGTTCCCCAACTAAAGAACCCCTTTTACACATCTCATCCTATAGATATTTTTTAAATATTACCCTTGCGAAGCATATCTTCGCAGAAGTTGTAAAACTGATGCTTGACTAACATTCGATACCTCGCATTTAAATTTAAGTCATGCCTAGCATTAAATTACACAAGTTTAGAAACTCGTTGTGGATCACACTATCACATGGAATAATTCAGTTTAAAGAACATTTCTTATAACTTTTTTTATAATAAAGAAAGCTATATTTTCGTACGTATGTATTATTATTTTATTAACTATGAACTCATCTTTTATAATTTTATGCATTATAGCTGTATTTAAATGAAATAATCTAATTTCGGTAGTGGTTAGACAATCACGGAGAAAAACTTTTGTCTCAATTATCTTCCTTGAAAATTACTTCGAACTAGTAATCAGAAATTACCTCGACCCATTCAGAACTTATTGATCATTACTTCAATGTTTTTTCTGCCTGAGCACAATTATAATTCAAATGAAACAACATAGATATGGCTATCACTGCTGAGCAAAAGACTGAGATAGCATATTTTAGTATAACAACACCCCATAGCTGTTTAAGTTTCTGCTTGATATTGTTTTAAAATTAAAACAGTGCGTTGAGTTCAGCTTGTTGTAGAGCTGAGTTTACTGAAATTTGTGCACTACAGGAAAGTTCGATTATCAGATTTGCTGCGAGAAATGCGAAGAATTTAAACACTATTTTAAAGGCATAAGTAAAACAATCGCCTTTCGTGGGCTCGTTGCATGCGAGGCGATTATGGTTTAACTATTTAGTGCTGCATTTTTAGAATATCATTCGCAGTTTTTAGTTTACCGTGTTAGTTCAAATACTCCCTTGCTCAAGTGTAAACCAAACATGTCGGTTCTCGTTAACGAACCATCGGGTAAGAACCACTAATGAAGATTATATACTATATAGTATATAACTATTCATTGAACAGTTCACCACAAGCGGCCTCACCAATCGCGTCGAGGACGCGAAATTCCCAGATTAAATTGAAAGTCGGATTCAAATTGAAGAGCAGTGATCAATAGATGCATGTCTAGGAAGATGTAGTTACATAAATCATAATGGCAATTGGCAGACCGTTTTACAAAAACCGAGGGTTCAATAACAAATATGAATTGAATAAGTAAAGTTAATTCTAGATTACTTGTCAAACCACTTTTACTCGATGAATGTTAATTCACTTCCAAGCTAGCGAGATTCTCGAGCCAAAACCACTATGCTGCATATGAACCTGATAGTGATAATACTATCAATACAGCGATCTTGTCAACATTAATAATAATATTACCTTTGCATATCTTGCTTGACTTAATTACCGTTAAAAAGGGCTTCATTTCTCTGCAGGAAAAGTTTCTCCCCCAATGACGGCCCTCCCTGGCCCTCACTACAGAAATAATCCTCACCCAAAAGCTGACTTCTTGCTGTGGAGACACCCAAGAAAACAGTGGCCAATGAAGGAGGCTGAGAAAAGTATTAATACTTATTAAATTGTAGTAGCTTTTTGTAGATATGCTTTATGCTGAAGGTCTTGTCAATAAAATTATTTCATAATAATAATAATATATTCCCTGATCGTTTCACAAAATAACAATGACTGCTCAAAGTTGTGACTGAAATGTACATATTATCATGAATCTTTATACAGAACCTGCGGAGCCAGCTAAAGATGGAGCCCTGGCCAAACTCAAGTAAGTTTTAGGAATTATGCAGTAGTATTCCTGTGGAGTTTGGCTGTATGTGAACATGGTGTTAACATGTTAACTGTATGTTAACTGTATGTTAACATGTTAACTGTATGTTTACATGGTGTTAACATGTTAACTGTATGTTAACTGTATGTTAACATGTTAACTGTATGTTAACATGGTGTTAACATGGTGTTAACATGGTAACTGTATGTTAACATGGTGGGGGTTTGACTGTTTACTATTAACTCTTTGTGAGGGCGTATACACTGTGTCGACCGTAAATCACAGAGTGTCTAATATAAACCTAATCTTCAGAGCGGCAGAAAGGGTAGAACTGGCTAAAGCTCTTAAAGAGGCTAAAAGCAGCGGGGTGTTCCACCAAGGTGCCATATTCTGCCAACCTAAAGCAGATAAAGGTCGCCACTGGTCAATCCACCCAGAATGGCCACTTGTTGATTGATTTTCTAATTTTTTGCAATTTTAGTTTGTTTAAAAACGGCCGATAAAAAATGTAAATTCATTCCTTAAACAAATTTATTTAAAAACTTTATTAGGCGATTAAATTTACTTTGTCAGACAAAGTCGAATAGCTTTTAATTATAGGCTTAATAATGGCCATTTTGATGTTTTGTATTGGTCTGATTCAGTGATAAATTATTTATGCAATATTATGAGATTTATGAAATTAATTTAAGGCTATTTCTATGATTATCGAATTATCGAATTGTCGAATAACGGTAATTTTGTTTATTCGAATCAAAAGAAAACAGAAGGTTTAGAATCTGGCTAACTATAATTGATCATACATCATTGTAACAAACGTTAAAGTCAGCATACAAAAATAATGAAAACTGTCGTGCACATATCATGTAATCAGTCGAGGAGGCGCCCCAAAATAAGACGCTGCGTGATTAAGTTTTAAGTTTATGGAAAGAGGATTATGTCTTGATTATCTGATATGTGACCGATTCCTAGGGGTATTGGGCAGCCGGAAGTGATCTGATATGAGGGACAACGGCAAATATTCTTCCCTCCGGCCCTAATACCTCAAAAATCAAATATGATAATCACAAAAAAATAATTTATACAAACAGTTTTAAACAACCATAAAATATGATCAATTAAAATTAAAAAATCAAAAAATGTTTAATCAAAAATAATAAGCGATAAAACTTAATAGAACTGTTTGTAACAGATATCAAGATCTAAATGGGAACATCGGTAAAAGCATCTGAATCTACGTAACTTGCTTGATTACTATCTGATTTGTTATTAAAACTAGAATTTGCTTGTTCCACCAGTACATCAAACATACCAGTCTCCTTAACTAGGTCATAGAAAATGCTGTCAGAGTTTTTAAGCAGGACCGCAGGATGATCAAACTCAACTAGTAACCCAGAGTCCATGACCATCACTCGGTCGCTGTCGATGATAGTGTTAATTCTGTGGGCGATGGTAAGCACAGTGCAGTCCGAGAACTTGTCCCGGAGTGTTGATTGGATCAGTTGATCTGGTTTCTGCAAATTAATGTGCATATCAGAAGTTTTAGGGGAAATTCAGTTTAAATATAAAAGCCAATTTCTGTTTACAAGATAGTCAAATAAAATTTATCAAATATTTTTACAACCAATTGGAGAATTGTGCAATCACTTTCACTTTCACTTCCATTTTCACCCTATTCTAACGACACAATTAGTATAACACAGCTGGACCTCTTACCTCATCAACATTTGCAGTAGCTTCATCAATAACCAGGATCTTTTTATCCCTCAGGAGTGCCCTAGCAAGACACAACAGTTGTCTCTGACCAGCAGACAAGTTCCCACCTCCCTCCTGGACCATCATCTCCAGACCCCCGGTCTGTGCTGCAACGTACACCTTCAGCTCCACCTTCTCCAGTACATCCCACAACTGTTCCGAGGTGAACTCAGAGAACGGGTCCAGGTTTATCCGCAGAGTCTCCGAGAAGAGCAGACTCTCCTGTGGGATTATATACACACCAGCCCCCTCTAGAGTCACAGTCGCCTTTTTACTCTCCCCAAACAGGAACACGTCCTCCTCCCTGGCCCTCTCTGTCTCCAACACCTCCTGCGCCCTCTGTTCTGCGCAGGTAAGGACCCCACACACGTCCCACCTCTTACTGGAAGTAGTGTAACACCAGGCAGCTGGTTCATTATCAGGGTTCCTGCAGTAGTTCTCCTCTAGACTGGGGTATTTTTCGGGAGTCCTAGTGTGTTTGTGTGGTGTATGGGCTGCCCAGGCTTGATATGTCAGTCCCCCTCGTGTAGTGCTCTTCGTTCCTCGGTAGTCCCCCTCGTGTAGTGCTCTTCGTTCCTCGGTAGTCCGTCTGCTCTTGACATGTCAGTCCGCCTCGTGTAGTGCTCTTCGTTCCTCGGTAGTCCGTCTGCTCTTGACATGTCAGTCCCCCTCGTGTAGTGCTCTTCCTTCCTCGGTAGTCCGTCTGCTCTTGACATGTCAGTCCCCCTCGTGTAGTGCTCTTCCTTCCTCGGTAGTCCGCCTCGTGTAGTGCTCTTCGTTCCTCGGTAGTCCGTCTGCTCTTGACATGTCAGTCCCCCTCGTGTAGTGCTCTTCGTTCCTCGGTAGTCCGTCTGCTCTTGACATGTCAGTCCGCCTCGTGTAGTGCTCTTCGTTCCTCGGTAGTCCGTCTGCTCTTGACATGTCAGTCCGCCTCGTGTAGTGCTCTTCCTTCCTCGGTAGTCCGTCTGCTCTTGACATGTCAGTCCCCCTCGTGTAGTGCTCTTCCTTCCTCGGTAGTCCGTCTGCTCTTGACATGTCAGTCCGCCTCGTGTAGTGCTCTTCCTTCCTCGGTAGTCCGTCTGCTCTTGACATGTCAGTCCCCCTCGTGTAGTGCTCTTCCTTCCTCGGTAGTCCGTCTGCTCTTGACATGTCAGTCCCCCTCGTGTAGTGCTCTTCCTTCCTCGGTAGTCCGCCTCGTGTAGTGCTCTTCGTTCCTCGGTAGTCCGTCTGCTCTTGACATGTCAGTCCCCCTCGTGTAGTGCTCTTCGTTCCTCGGTAGTCCGTCTGCTCTTGACATGTCAGTCCCCCTCGTGTAGTGCTCTTCCTTCCTCGGTAGTCCGCCTCGTGTGGTGCTCTTCGTTCCTCGGTAGTCCGTCTGCTCTTGACATGTCAGTCTGCCTCGTGTAGTGCTCTTCGTTCCTCGGTAGTCCGTCTGCTCTTGACATGTCAGTCCGCCTCGTGTAGTGCTCTTCGTTCCTCGGTAGTCCGTCTGCTCTTGACATGTCAGTCCGCCTCGTGTAGTGCTCTTCGTTCCTCGGTAGTCCGTCTGCTCTTGACATGTCAGTCCGCCTCGTGTAGTGCTCTTCGTTCCTCGGTAGTCCGTCTGCTCTTGACATGTCAGTCCGCCTCGTGTAATGCTCTTCGTTCCTCGGTAGTCCGTCTGCTCTTGACATGTCAGTCCGCCTCGTGTAGTGCTCTTCGTTCCTCGGTAGTCCGTCTGCTCTTGACATGTCAGTCCGCCTCGTGTAGTGCTCTTCGTTCCTCGGTAGTCCGTCTGCTCTTGACATGTCAGTCCGCCTCGTGTAGTGCTCTTCGTTCCTCGGTAGTCCGTCTGCTCTTGACATGTCAGTCCGCCTCGTGTAGTGCTCTTCGTTCCTCGGTAGTCCGTCTGCTCTTGACATGTCAGTCCGCCTCGTGTAGTGCTCTTCGTTCCTCGGTAGTCCGTCTGTCTTGACATGTCAGTCCGCCTCGTGTAGTGCTCTTCGTTCCTCGGTAGTCCGCCTCGTGTAGTGCTCTTCGTTCCTCGGTAGTCCGTCTGCTCTTGACATGTCAGTCCGCCTCGTGTAGTGCTCTTCGTTCCTCGGTAGTCCGTCTGCTCTTGACATGTCAGTCCGCCTCGTGTAGTGCTCTTCGTTCCTCGGTAGTCCGTCTGCTCTTGACATGTCAGTCCGCCTCGTGTAGTGCTCTTCGTTCCTCGGTAGTCCGTCTGCTCTTGACATGTCAGTCCGCCTCGTGTAGTGCTCTTCGTTCCTCGGTAGTCCGTCTGCTCTTGACATGTCAGTCCGCCTCGTGTAGTGCTCTTCGTTCCTCGGTAGTCCGTCTGCTCTTGACATGTCAGTCCGCCTCGTGTAGTGCTCTTCGTTCCTCGGTAGTCCGTCTGCTCTTGACATGTCAGTCCGCCTCGTGTAGTGCTCTTCGTTCCTCGGTAGTCCGTCTGCTCTTGACATGTCAGTCCGCCTCGTGTAGTGCTCTTCGTTCCTCGGTAGTCCGTCTGCTCTTGACATGTCAGTCCGCCTCGTGTAGTGCTCTTCGTTCCTCGGTAGTCCGTCTGCTCTTGACATGTCAGTCCGCCTCGTGTAGTGCTCTTCGTTCCTCGGTAGTCCGTCTGCTCTTGACATGTCAGTCCGCCTCGTGTAGTGCTCTTCGTTCCTCGGTAGTCCGTCTGCTCTTGACATGTCAGTCCGCCTCGTGTAGTGCTCTTCGTTCCTCGGTAGTCCGTCTGCTCTTGACATGTCAGTCCGCCTCGTGTAGTGCTCTTCGTTCCTCGGTAGTCCGTCTGCTCTTGACATGTCAGTCCGCCTCGTGTAGTGCTCTTCGTTCCTCGGTAGTCCGTCTGCTCTTGACATGTCAGTCCGCCTCGTGTAGTGCTCTTCGTTCCTCGGTAGTCCGTCTGCTCTTGACATGTCAGTCCGCCTCGTGTAGTGCTCTTCGTTCCTCGGTAGTCCGTCTGCTCTTGACATGTCAGTCCGCCTCGTGTAGTGCTCTTCGTTCCTCGGTAGTCCGTCTGCTCTTGACATGTCAGTCCGCCTCGTGTAGTGCTCTTCGTTCCTCGGTAGTCCGTCTGCTCTTGACATGTCAGTCCGCCTCGTGTAGTGCTCTTCGTTCCTCGGTAGTCCGTCTGCTCTTGACATGTCAGTCCGCCTCGTGTAGTGCTCTTCGTTCCTCGGTAGTCCGTCTGCTCTTGACATGTCAGTCCGCCTCGTGTAGTGCTCTTCGTTCCTCGGTAGTCCGTCTGCTCTTGACATGTCAGTCCGCCTCGTGTAGTGCTCTTCGTTCCTCGGTAGTCCGTCTGCTCTTGACATGTCAGTCCGCCTCGTGTAGTGCTCTTCGTTCCTCGGTAGTCCGTCTGCTCTTGACATGTCAGTCCGCCTCGTGTAGTGCTCTTCGTTCCTCGGTAGTCCGTCTGCTCTTGACATGTCAGTCCGCCTCGTGTAGTGCTCTTCGTTCCTCGGTAGTCCGTCTGCTCTTGACATGTCAGTCCGCCTCGTGTAGTGCTCTTCGTTCCTCGGTAGTCCGTCTGCTCTTGACATGTCAGTCCGCCTCGTGTAGTGCTCTTCGTTCCTCGGTAGTCCGTCTGCTCTTGACATGTCAGTCCGCCTCGTGTAGTGCTCTTCGTTCCTCGGTAGTCCGTCTGCTCTTGACATGTCAGTCCGCCTCGTGTAGTGCTCTTCGTTCCTCGGTAGTCCGTCTGCTCTTGACATGTCAGTCCGCCTCGTGTAGTGCTCTTCGTTCCTCGGTAGTCCGTCTGCTCTTGACATGTCAGTCCGCCTCGTGTAGTGCTCTTCGTTCCTCGGTAGTCCGTCTGCTCTTGACATGTCAGTCCGCCTCGTGTAGTGCTCTTCGTTCCTCGGTAGTCCGTCTGCTCTTGACATGTCAGTCCGCCTCGTGTAGTGCTCTTCGTTCCTCGGTAGTCCGTCTGCTCTTGACATGTCAGTCCGCCTCGTGTAGTGCTCTTCGTTCCTCGGTAGTCCGTTTGCTCTTGACATGTCAGTCCGCCTCGTGTAGTGCTCTTCGTTCCTCGGTAGTCCGTCTGCTCTTGACATGTCAGTCCGCCTCGTGTAGTGCTCTTCGTTCCTCGGTAGTCCGTCTGCTCTTGACATGTCAGTCCGCCTCGTGTAGTGCTCTTCGTTCCTCGGTAGTCCGTCTGCTCTTGACATGTCAGTCCGCCTCGTGTAGTGCTCTTCGTTCCTCGGTAGTCCGTCTGCTCTTGACATGTCAGTCCCCCTCGTGTAGTGCTCTTCGTTCCTCTGTAGTCCGTCTGCTCTTGACATGTCAGTCCGCCTCGTGTAGTGCTCTTCGTTCCTCGGTAGTCCGTCTGCTCTTGACATGTCAGTCCCCCTCGTGTAGTGCTCTTCGTTCCTCGGTAGTCCGTCTGCTCTTGACATGTCAGTCCCCCTCGTGTAGTGCTCTTCGTTCCTCGGTAGTCCGTCTGCTCTTGACATGTCAGTCCGCCTGACATGTCCGTCTGCTCTTGACATGTCAGTCCGCCTGACATGTCAAGAGCAGACGGACTCTTCGTTCCTCGGTAGTCCGTCTGCTCTTGACATGTCAGTCCGCCTCGTGTAGTGCTCTTCGTTCCTCGGTAGTCCGTCTGCTCTTGACATGTCAGTCCGCCTCGTGTAGTGCTCTTCGTTCCTCGGTAGTCCGTCTGCTCTTGACATGTCAGTCCCCCTCGTGTAGTGCTCTTCGTTCCTCGGTAGTCCGTCTGCTCTTGACATGTCAGTCCGCCTCGTGTAGTGCTCTTCGTTCCTCGGTAGTCCGTCTGCTCTTGACATGTCAGTCCGCCTCGTGTAGTGCTCTTCGTTCCTCGGTAGTCCGTCTGCTCTTGACATGTCAGTCCGCCTCGTGTAGTGCTCTTCGTTCCTCGGTAGTCCGTCTGCTCTTGACATGTCAGTCCGCCTCGTGTAGTGCTCTTCGTTCCTCGGTAGTCCGTCTGCTCTTGACATGTCAGTCCGCCTCGTGTAGTGCTCTTCGTTCCTCGGTAGTCCGTCTGCTCTTGACATGTCAGTCCGCCTCGTGTAGTGCTCTTCGTTCCTCGGTAGTCCGTCTGCTCTTGACATGTCAGTCCGCCTCGTGTAGTGCTCTTCGTTCCTCGGTAGTCCGTCTGCTCTTGACATGTCAGTCCGCCTCGTGTAGTGCTCTTCGTTCCTCGGTAGTCCGTCTGCTCTTGACATGTCAGTCCCCCTCGTGTAGTGCTCTTCGTTCCTCGGTAGTCCGTCTGCTCTTGACATGTCAGTCCGCCTCGTGTAGTGCTCTTCGTTCCTCGGTAGTCCGTCTGCTCTTGACATGTCAGTCCCCCTCGTGTAGTGCTCTTCGTTCCTCGGTAGTCCGTCTGCTCTTGACATGTCAGTCCGCCTCGTGTAGTGCTCTTCGTTCCTCGGTAGTCCGTCTGCTCTTGACATGTCAGTCCCCCTCGTGTAGTGCTCTTCGTTCCTCGGTAGTCCGTCTGCTCTTGACATGTCAGTCTGCCTCGTGTAGTGCTCTTCGTTCCTCGGTAGTCCGTCTGCTCTTGACATGTCAGTCCCCCTCGTGTAGTGCTCTTCGTTCCTCGGTAGTCCGTCTGCTCTTGACATGTCAGTCCGCCTCGTGTAGTGCTCTTCGTTCCTCGGTAGTCCGTCTGCTCTTGACATGTCAGTCCACCTCGTGTAGTGCTCTTCGT